AAAACGCTACGTCCAGATGAACAGAATCAACTTTTGGAGATTATTTTTTTGAAATTCTCACATGTTTATGCAGAAAGACTGCTACGCAAAAGGAGTCCACAACAACTTATAAATAAAAGTCAAATGTTGGAATGATTAAAACAACAGATAAACCTTACACAATTAAATAAATTTCTGTTAGTTACAGGCTGTAACTACAGTTCTGTGAGAATATATTTCTCCCCTACCCAACATCTGGCTTTCCCACTGCAGTGGGTACTGATTAATGCTGATCACAACTTTAATAGAGCTCTAATACACACCAGATGTTAGAGCTTTTGGTGGAAAAGCCCCCATAATGTGAAGCACACTGAGGCAAGCATGAAACTAAAAGTTAAGCAGGTCAAAAATGTGTATAATCTTCTTTTAATACATTGTCAAAGGGCACTTCTTCTCATTAAGAGCTTCTGTAAACACGATGAGAACATCTTTTACAACAACAAGACACTGATGAGCCAGTAATACTAAGAATGAGAAACTTCAAAACACATTTAAAACACAGAAAACGTCACTGTTCGTTCACAAAAACGTTGGAAATGAAGGAATAAACAAGAGATGGGTCTGGGGTCTAGCCCTTAGAGAAACGGCAGGAAAGCCCTGTGCACCAGCGCTCAAGGGCGGAAATGTGATCGCCACGAGTGGAGGGAGTTTACCTTGCGGAGCGAAGAACTCCCAGCGTAATTTAGGGCTGCTGGTTGCCAACGAAGACCTGACACTGTTTGCAAGCTCTATAGCGAAATAAAATAAAAATGTGCAGGTGGAAGGAAAAGAGGGAATTAGGGGAGAAAGGGAAAGAAAGGAGGAAAGAATAAGGGATAGATGTCAAAACCAGGAGGTGGAGAGGGTGCAGATTGCAGAATTCCTCCTGTGATACTGTAGGACTGATAAGCGGAAACTGTAAAACTGGTATAAAAAGAACTAAAATTAAAATAAAATAAAAAAAAAGCCCTTAAAGAGCAACACTTTTTCCCCACATAAAAATTTATTCCAGTTTGGTTATACAAATTATGAATAAAAACAAATAAGAAAAAAAAAACAATAAAGCAAGGCAGATTTTTTTTGCTTGATGTTTTGTTGGATTGCATGTCCATCTCCTTTATGAAATAAAATGGGACATACTATAGCGATATGATAAGTGAGGCGAGGCTTTGCTAAAACAAGTCTCATCATGATTGCAAACCTTTGAATGCCCCTTTAATCACAGCAGCAAAGCAAAGTGACATATTGAAAGGCACAAAGAAAAACAGGCACCAACAAGGAGTTGCTGATCAAGCATCCAAAACAATAAGTATGGTAAATAAGCCAGATGTCTGGGTGTTAAACATGCACATACCTGCTTTTGTTTCCCATTGCTGGTAATAACCAGATGATCCTGGTGGAGCTGAGCTTGATGACATCTCTGACCTCTGTAAGAGCTCCTGGGAGCAGGGATCATTGGCCTGCAGGTAGATTTAAGATTATAGAATAGAACGCCTTTTATTGTCAGTATACACATGTACAATGAGATACAGAGCATCTCCTACACAGTGCAGATATGTAGGAAAAGAAAGGGGGTGAGGTGCACAGGTCTGCAGCACTATATACATACGAACAGTATTCAAAATTTAAAATGTACAAATATACAAATCGGGAAAAATAAAAAAAATAAATATTGTTATATATTTACAAATTAAGGATTGCACCGTTGTGATGGTAGTTGTGTAGTCTGTGTATAGCGGGAAGTCCTTGGATTGAGGGGGGGGAACTGTGTTATGAGTGCATGTTAGCCACTAGACATCTACTAGACAGACGGCTCATAATTTGAGTTTTGATATCACCTACTGGCTGATATGACTGTATATCAACCCCAGACTGGACAAGATTAGAGAGGTCTTCACTAGATGGTTTCGGCATTTGTTGTTCTTGTTTGGCTTCTGAAAAAAGACATACAAGAAGTTTAAAATCTACTAATATAGTTGCACAGTGTTGCATGAACTTCAGCAACATGTGTTTGTTCTAAAAGTAACCACAAGGTGTCAGCATACTACTACCTGCAGGTGGGTTTTGATGAGCTACAGCATTTGGCTTTTCTTCCTCTGAAGCAGCTGCTGTCTGGTCTCCAGTCTTTCCAAAGCTTTCCTGTGGCTTCTGCAGCTCCTGTAGGGGTCACACATGGATTTCTTTCTGAATGCTAAACTAAATTCTGCAGATCAAAGGGCCTATGTTGTGTAAGAAGTACAAACGAAATGTGATATTTCAGACTTTAAGAGTTTAATCTCAACTAAATTTGGGCAAAATCATTGCAAGATGCATGATATAATGCATGGCAAGGAACAGATTACAGGGCAAGTATTGACATTATTGAGAGAGGCAAAATATCCTGCACCCAGAAAACTGGGCTTGGAGTAAAATACCCACTAACCATGCTTCTTTAAAAGACAAAAAAAATGTAAATAACTATAAAACATTGGAATTCTCACTGATGGGAGTGAGGTGGGCCGGCTGGGTGGTGTTGACTCAGTGACTTTCTCCACCTGGACCTCCTGAGTGTCCTCAGAAGCTATCTCTGTAACATCTCGTGTCTCCTTTGCCTTTGTTGGCACTGGACTTCCTTCCCTAGAAGAGGTGTGGGTACTGTGAGGAAGTGAGGTTTCTGACAAGGGAGCATCTACAGCACCATCTACAGTGCTGTTTTTGCTTTGGGAAGGGGATGCCTGAAAATGAGGAGGCGAGTCCCTCCCTTGACTCTCAGGTGTAGTGGGAACATCGTCGCTTCCAACGTCACCATTTACTCGCAGCAAACCATCCACCTAGATAAAAAGAGAAAAAGCTTAATGTTTAATTTTCTGTGTGTAGTGTTTATACCCTGCGCTTTTCAACAAATGGCTTCAACATGCATTAATGTTAAGAAAGCAAGCTGGAAGATATGGCTATACCATTCAATTTTATTTATTTTGCTCTAAATCATAACATATGCAATTTCAAGGTAAGATTACAGTATTGAACCACTCATTTCTAGATAAGAAGGCGCTTATTGTCCAATTTATTCTTCATTCATTACATGGATAAATATAGAAATCCTGAACAACAGTGACTGTGAATAAAAATGTAAAATAAACCACGCCAAAAAACCCAGTGGCCTCATTTGTGGTCATTATGAACCTCTCTTCTCAGTTAGTAATTAGCTATTCATCCAGCTCACAAGACCACACTGCCCTCTATGAACAAGAGGCACTAATATATGTGCGAAGAGCTCCTAGTGAGCGGTAACTCAAGACACGGTGGTAAAGATGGGTGAATGCAGGCTCAGTCTCCCCCTCTCTGCCTCCACCTTCTCATCCCTCTCCTTGCAGCCTGTGTGGGCTCTCTTTGTCCGTCGGGAGCCCACTTCACATTGAGAGGGTCCTACTTGTCAACTTCTTAAGTCAATAGGGAACAGAGGGCTCCATTGAAACCCAGGCTTTGCTCAGACTCCTGACAAGGAATTCCAGAAAAGTGCTTTGTTCCATTTGGTCTGATAATAATCTTACCCTCCCTCTTTTCCACACCAAAACATAAGATCCCATCATGAAAATTCCCATTTGTAATTTTTTTCTAGAAGGAAATGGATCCCGTTGAGAGTACTTCGAGCTAAATTGAAACATTACATGCTTCTTCGGGGAGGGAATGTCTTACATTTTCCTACAAACCAGCCGGCTCATCACCATGGCAGTTCTGTGGTATTCTAATGTAAATGCCAAGAGACCCGGAGAGGAATTTACCCACAAGGAGGGAAACCGACACTTGCAAGTAACCACATTTGAAATGGTCAAGGCCTTAATCACCGTTAGACTAACAAGATCTTATCTTCTTTTTTGTATATAGGAATAAAGCTTTAGAATCGCTGTGTACACAACCTGAACAAGAAGCACTATACTGTATATCCACAGCAGCCCTGAAGTTTCCTGTGACAATACCAGCAGGCAGTGCAAATGAGAACGCAAATGTTGAAAGCAGCTGGATTGTCAGCTGCTTAGTGCATAGTCGTAGTCCAATATGTTCATGTACATGTTCGATGAACAGACACTAAGAAAGTGGGAGTCATGTGCACTTCCTTCTATACACAGGCAGCATCCTAGCCCAAAACAAACTGGGTATATCTAATAGAGAGAACAGATCACACATGAATGGGATTATTTCCTGCTGTGTCCCACGTGTGACAGAGAGTAACATCTGCCAATGCTTTGGACTGATCCTCCTGATATTGTTCATGTGCAAAAACAGCTAAAAACAGGACTCAGCATTTGGAGTAGACCACTATGAACATTTTAATTGTTGTCACCTTATGCCTCAATCTTAAATGTTTCCACGTGTGAATTGTGGTGCAATGAAAAAAATATACTGACATCTGTGTTCTCACATTCAGATATATCTAGGTAAGTCAATATCTGACCTCCTTCGCCTGAGTCAATCATACCTTGTTGTTCCAAGTTTCACCTCCTGCAGGTCGGGCCTGGAAATAAGGCTTGGGCATCAGCAAAGGCACCGGTTTGGGTGACAGGGCTCGGGTTGATGGCGGTTCAGAGGAGCGAGAGCGTATCTGAGACCGCTGGTGTGAGGACGGTTCTTTGGGAAACTCCTCGATTCGCGCCTCAAATGTAGAAGTAAACTTTGGAGTCGGGGCAGACTGCTGGCGCAGATACCTCATGGGCCCATTGAAGTCAGAATCGAAAGGGTCTGGTGTCGTGGGAGAGGCTGACAGGGAGAGGGAGAGCGGGAAAGGTGAGGTGGGGAAGGAGGGGTCAGCGGATATGCTGCGGTCCAACAACTTTGGCAGCTGCAGGCGTTCGAGGACTGTTTCGCTTATGGAGAAACGCTGGGCGTAACGTTGGAGAATGGCAGTCGCCTCCTCAGGATTTTTGGCTTTCTTGTATGCCTGCCGTAGATCCTCCTCACGACGCTCCCTTAGAAAGAAGAGAAAGCATAGCAGAGGTAAAGCAGTTGATATAACAATTATTTGAACCTACTCTTGCTTTAGCCAAGCTTTGTCTAAAAAGACAGATACAGAAATCAGTTGTAATTGCTACCAAAGGCTGACTGGTTGCTGTCAAACTCGAGAAACCTTTTTTTTCTTCACTGCAAAAGATCAGTTTCTTCTAGTCATTTCACAATCACTCACACAATCTGCTCTTCCTTTTAATTTCTGAAGGAGACCTATTTAAAGTGAACTCCAGGAGGAGCTGCATTCACCTTTGTGCCCGCTGACAGCAATGACAGGGGACATACAATTCTCTTCTCTGAGAATGACCCAGTTTTTCTTTACTTCTGATATCATACTGCGCAAAGAGCTATTGGCGTTCCTGTGGTATACTCATTAAAGCAGTTCTCAGTAGGTTGTCGTGGATGTAACTTACTTGTCCTCTACTATCTCCCTATAGGTCTTGATGCTTCTTCTCCTCTGAGAGGTATAGGTGTCTCCTGACATCAGGCGCTCCATCATCTTCCTTTCCTCCTCCTTTTTGATCAGATCCTGGGAAATACTCCTCCTCCGACTTTTCCATCGGGCCAGGTCCTGACACCCATACAGACAGATTCAAAGTATGTCCTGGTTCAGCAGCACTTTGAGCTCCCTGTTATTTTACTGGGGCACAGCTAAAATGACTTTAGAAGGCGCTTGTATAACAGGCCACAGGCAGTAAAACCATAGCAGTTAAAAAGGAATAATGAAAGTAATGCAAAGATGTGACAAACTGCATGCAAATAAATGTCAGTCCCATAAAACAAAGACCCAAAGATACAGAGTGAGCGATCTAATGTCTGAGACACTCACATCCTGCCAGTGATCCTCCTCTTCCTTCATTTTGTTGTACTGGTTATGCATCCGCTCATGACGCACCTGACTGTGCGGCTGTAACGTGGCTTCTTCCTCACCACGCATGTCGATCATACTCACACTCCTGCAGGCAAGGGGAAAAAACAAGCAGTAATTATTTAAATCAAACGGGGCTTATTAGCTATACTACTAGTGATTCTATAGTACATGATGTACTACTACTGTAATGGTGTTTTCATTTTGTCACTGGAACACAATATAAAAAAAAAACTGCTTTAACATATTCTATACTTTCAATGCAACTTTGAAGAAGTAACATTTTTAATGTTGAATAAAAGCTACTTTTGGCTGCTCACTTAATCATAAGAGGTCACCATAGCAAGTAGGCCTACGTGTTTGATCTGGCAGATTTCTTTTTACACCAGATGCCCTTCCTGAAGGAACCCAAAAGGGATTTCTCTCTCTTCCCGTAAAACTGGGATTTTTCTTTGCTTATAAGGCGAGTGTGTAATCCACTATACTACCGGTGCCACTGAAATGGTTAATGTCAAATAAACAGAGAAAATTAGCTTTACCATGTATACCATGGAACAGTCCAAACAGAATGTATCAAACAAACCACATCGATCACAAACTACGTCAATTTATCATAATGAGGAAAGGTAAATAAACTGGTGCCAGTATCTCAGAGAGATACCAAAAACAAAATCATTGTTCCATGGAAACATGTTTTTAAAGGAAACTTCATGCTCGTTTAGTAAGCAGAACTAAGATTTTATCCAGCCCATCGTTCCCTCGGAAGATCAAACAAAAAATGTCTGCGTCTTTGCTCTTTTGATGGATTCAATATGTTTCAAAACACATGTAAATACATTTAATATCAGTTTCAATCTGAGTTTATCAGATGCAACAATCAGTATGATGTTCATACAATCATTGACTCATTAAAGGCAGTTTACATTTCTCTTTACATTTGTTCTGCAATGGCGAAACAGTTTTACATTACAGATGAGACAGAAAGTACAGCTTTATTGTTAGAGGCATGCAGCAACAATGCATGTTCATCACAGAATTAGAAAGCCTAAGAGCAATGGCAACTGTCTTAACTATATGAATATAGCACCTGTCTATTTTTAGTACTTTTTCGTGCTGGCAACAGGTCATTTTCAAAGGTATCGCTTGGCTTACAGTTATAAAAGTTACAAAAGAGTGGCACTTAGATGGTGCTCACTCACAAATGCTTTTTGGTTCTCACTGAGCAGTGTGTGAATTAAAGAACATTGCAGCAGAAGAGTATTTTCACACCAAGGGGCAACTGCACTTAAGCAATCCCCTGTCATCACGCTGCACTTTTAGCTGTTGTGTATGGGATTAAAGGGACTGGGTGTTGGCAGGCTGGTAGAAATGGCTGCTTTACATGACACATGCAGCTGGCTCGCAGAAGGACTGAGGATGAGTTTAGCAAGTCCTCTCCACATCCTTGGCAGCAGGCACATTGAATAAGTTTGAGAGAAATGGATTGTTGCCAGGCAAAGGCAAAAAAAGCACTAGGTTTATTGAAGCCATATTTTCCATGATAAGCCAAAGAGCCAGGGACACTGTTTGACACTGTTGAAGCGCACAGCCAAAAATGTCCACCACAAATCATTTAACTGCAAGCAGGAAAATCTGCTTATTTGTGAGACATTTATGTTTTCCATGCAGAAAAAAGTCGTCACATAAGATCGCCTTGTAACAAACGCTGTCATACATCGGCACTGACTGGCTGCACTGATTCCCACTAATACATCTTCGAAAGCAGAAATCAGATAAATTACTGTCATTGCAGAAAACATTTTGGTTCCATTCCACATTTCTTTAGACTATGTGGTGTTTAACATGTCATGTCAAAATCGCCCCAAAAGATGAATTAAAGGAATGATTTATGACATTAGGGTATCGATTCCAGTAAAGTTTGAGGTTCGATGGGCCACTTCCCATGATCCGTACCCTGGTAAGAGCATATTATGGTTAAATGACAGCACAATGCAGCATTTTTTTAACACAAGATTGTCAATATGAAATTAATAAGGGAAAAAAATTGAACTTTTATAAATATAAATTGCTGTCAGTGGCGACATTTTTCTAAATTCCTTCAATTTCTGGCAGATTTCCCCACTTCCATGACCTATTTCCAACAATGAACAAATGATTTAATGACTTATTGAGCCAGCTGGATTTTGTACTGCAGAGCAATGCCAGGCAGCTGAGCCTGTGAGGGGTAAAAAGACAACTTACTGCGGATCATCTGACACACAATCTGTGTGGCTGAATCTACAGAAGTCAGAAAGCATGGAGGGAAAACACAATCACAAATGAACACAACACTCTGAAGAGAGAAACATCTCATCCACGCGTGCAAATATTAAAAAGCCATGTTTGCAGCTGATAATGAGTTAGTTTGTGACTACGCACCAGCTTAATTTGATTACTAATGCTTGAAACAAATATGTGTGGTGACTTTTGGTTGTGTTAGCTCCTAGGTTAAATGACAAACCTCAAACCAGACACAAGGGGGCAGTCTTATCCAGAACACAAATTTACTGCAGCACTAAAAGCACTGCTGGCATAAAATAAAGATAATTAAAAAAAAACACACATTATATGGCCATGATCTTAGAATGCAGTTGACACTAAACTATTGAAAAAAGAAAGAAAAAAGGAAATGTATGTTTTATTAGACAGCACAAGGGTAACATCAAGGATGCAGCTGTCTTTGTGTCTGTGACCACCACTTGTAGGTTTGGCCTTAACCACAAAGGTCTTCATACAGAGCTGTCTCTGTGATGTTGGAGGGGTGTGAGAGACAGTGTGGCCTGTGGTTTGAATCTCACAAGATGGAAAAAAAAGACTAAATCAAGACCAGACAGATTGTTTGCTAAAAATGGTATTTGTCATATGGTATGTCCTAGTAAAACATCTATTTGCCATATGTTTTGGGGTAGATAGATGTGTGGCTGGGAATATGCTTTAAAGCCAGCTTCACAGCTTCATTGGCACACTTTGAACTATCACTGTGTGATTGCTTAAGAGTAGTTGGGCCAATCTAGATTTGGATTCAAAGATCTAGACTGAAGAATTACTCATCGATTTTGGTTCAAACTGGATCAAATTTACTTCAGAATGCACTGAAGTTGTTTCCTAACTTGAAATCCCTGAACAGCTCAAAAGCTGCCAACTAAAGTCATGCACAGTTAATCAAAAAGCACATTCTCAAATGTTTCTACTTTCCCAAATTAATCAGTAACAAAAAAGCAAGGATAAGAGAAAAAGTCAACTTTTCAGACTTTCCATGCAGCCCTTTTCAACAACAGATTTTAGCTGGCACTATCAATTTGCATTCATGTAAAACAGGTAAAAAAGGTCATGCAGTCTTCAGATAGTGACATTCATCATCCACAGAGAAGCACTGCAGTCTCACGTCAAGATCACATGCTGATATAGAAAATTCAAAGGGATCATGGAAATAGAAGATCCCTTCACTTTGAAGTGAATTAAGCCGTTTTAGCTTAATGCAGCAAAGTTTCATTAAATAACAGTGTAGCTGTTGGAGTGAGCTCACTTTGCTGGAAGACTGCTGTCCACCCAAGACGTGCCTTCATGTGGATCATCCCTTTCAGTCTGTGGCTTTCCCTTCTGCCGGCACGTATCAGTCGTTTCTGTTGATGCGGTTGCCATGGCAGTGGGCACAGGAAGGAAGCTAGACGTACTCAGGGTGTCGATACATTTGGGTGAGGTCGGCATTTGACAAGCCTGTTTATCATCTCCTTTTGCATCTGCAGCTACCAGAGAACCAGCAACTCCTTTCCTCATTGCGACATCCTCCTGGTGTGTCACAGGTGAATGCTTCCCAGCTGTGTTGATGGGGCTCGTTTGAAACACGGAGGCGGCCGTGGCATTTGCTGCTAGAGTCGACGAATGGTGGAAGAATTCTTCTGAGCACGAGCGAGCTGGAGTACTGCAGAAAGCAAAGCAAACTAAACCGTTTTCCTGCCTGGTTATTATCCTACATCATAAGACAGCATTCCTCTGGAGAAGCCTAGTTTTTTTTTTAAAAGACATAAATCTATGAAAATAGCGCATGGTCACAAATTCCTTCAGAGCAGACAAAGTCAAAGCAAAATTCCCAAAACAGTCTGCTGTTTGTCATTCTGTGATGAACAGCTACTTTCTGGGAGGCTTATTATTGGACTGTAAATTCCCAGAATACATGGTAGGGAGGGAGAGACTGGCCAGCTGCCGGCAGTGAAAAGGCCAGGCTTCAGTCCCAGCCTGCTCAGGGTCAGGGAAGGAAGAAGGCCTCATTTCCTTACATCCTGAGGGTGGGTCGAATGTTCATGTTCTCTGTGAATGTTTGTTTGTGTGTGGACACATACAGTACATTCTTGTGTGCATGCATATTATATATACATATATATGTATATTTATGTGTGTCCATGTTTCAGTTGTGCTTGCAGCTTTGCTCCTAGCATATGATTGCAGATTTGATGGAAACATATTGTGATATAACTGGAAAGCAACCACTTGGTTCTTTTGTTCTCCCTTTCACTTGATCAAAATTTATGTTTGATTAAAAAAAATCTAGAGAACAACAGATTTCTGATACTTTAGATGTTAAACAGATTTGGTCAATACTGCAACTACAAAAACAGCTAAAAAAACATGGCACTGGGTATCTGCTCTACTCAACTAATTGAGTGAGACAGCAAAAGCTCTTAAAAAGGATGTGTCAACATTGCAAAAACCAATTAGCTGAAATTGAAAAAAAATTCTAGCCTTGGCTTTATTCAGGAAATATGCAAGATGGGGAACTCCATATCAAATATCCTACAAAACCCCTTTGTCTCGGACAACCATCCGATTTCTATTGAGGATTCACTCCCTTAACATTCTCAATATTCAATCAATGTCACAACATCTGTGCCAGAAGACAATGCTGGAAACTGGAGGCATGACTCTCCAACAGCACTGTGAACGAAACGTCGGTTTGACTAGGAAATAACACCGGATAAGTCCGGACTGCGAAATTACATAAGAGACCAAAACTGACATTTTTCAAGGAGCACTGCAATCACATTGGATTTGTGTGAGCTGTAAAATATACAACGGCATTGTTCTTTGACAGCTCATAATCCTCACCTTGTTTCCTGACACCAAATGTATAATTTGAGACTTTGGGTTGTCCTGCTGCGTACAGACTTTCTGAAATTCTATAAGCAAAAGGCTGCAAGTGCATTACAGTGTGTCTGAAACTGGTTTAAATAAGATGTGACCCTCTTGCTAACTTATTGTTACCCAAGACTGGATAAAAGGAGCAGTGGAAAAGATGATCTGATAAAAGCAATGCCAAAAAGCAAAATTAAACACCAGCTGGAAAAGTTTTCTACCATGTACACGGTCCCAAAGAAAACTGTTCTTAGAGATGTTTGTTGAGTATCGTGACTATCACGAACATTGGTTTTGGACAGATACGCTACAGCTGAAATAAGCAAGGTCAATTTTTCAGTGTTTTCTGTGGCATTCAAGAGGATTAGAGTCAAATATATCAAAACTTGCACATGAAACACGGCAAAATACCACTTGATGTAGAATAAGTTAACCTTTTAAAAAACAAAAGTTCAGCTGAAATATTACTGCTGACTCTACTCATGACCAACAATAACAAAGATCTCTACACATTGAGCACTAAACTCTTCTATCATGGACTTGCAACAAAGTTTCTTCCTGCAAAAACCAATTGTTGGCATTCGCCAGGAGGTTTTAGGCAGAGCCAAAAGAAAAATCATCAGTATTGAAAAACCAATTCCAATTTTGCTCATTTGGTGATTGATTTTCCAAACAAAGCAGGAATAACTGTCAATCAAATGATCAGATTTTTACAGAAAATGTATACATTTCTATCAAATCTGTCAGAAAATCCATACCAAAATCCATACCATCCAAAGTTATTGCACTACCACCCAAAATGCCTATTCTGACCCCAAACAACTCCAAATACTGTTTATATATTATTATCAAACTGGAGTGTAGAATAACAACAGTGTCATGCTATTCGTTTTTCATTTACCTTGGAGCTGTTAGCTTAAAGCAGATATGGATAGTGGTGTGGTGTGGTTACTTTATTTACTTTTCTGACCTCCACCCCCCCACCTTAGCTGTGACACTGCACAGAGCTCTCTGCAGCCAGCTAAAAACTTTACACATATAAAATAAATTTTTGCTTAAAAATCAGAGAAACAATGTGTAAAAGCACAAAAATAAACTTGACGGGTCAAATAAAAAAACAAAAACAAAACATAAACAAATAGTAATGACAAAAAGGAGTGGGGATGTTGATATCTGGTATTGAGAAAATATGAGTGAAGGTTAAGACCTTTGCTCAGAGGTGACCATCAGATGAATTACAGTCTCTCTTGGGGGCTCTGCTTGGGGCTGGGGGAGACTACTGGGCAGAGGCTCACTTCTCCTTCTTTTGCCTGCTGTATGGATCTCAATGCAAGGCGGAGATGCAGACTGCCTCCCTTCGTGCTTGTCCTTTTTAATGTGGTTCTCCTTTTGAATCTGTGTACAGGGTTCAAGGGGCAGGGCGGGGGATGGACTAGGGGATTCTCCAGGAGGGATTTCTAAGCTACAGACCTCATTTAGACTGAGGCATCACCCATTCATGCAACACACAAGTAGGAGAGGAATACGTAATTACATTGGGAGTAAAATTAGTCACATGAGGATAATCACAACACGATGGTCATAAGACATGAAGCACAAACAGATGTGGGGAGGGTTGGGGAAAGAAAGAGTGAAGGACACACCATGACATAAAATAATAAGAGGTGAAGTAAAGAGATGGAGAAGGAGGGAAAGAGGAAAAGAATAAATGCAAAATCAATATGTGAGCTTTGATGGATGAAATTTAGGGAAATAACCAATTGGGTGATACATACAAGCTCAACACACTTCCCAAGAGTATATCTAACAAGTGAAGGAGCTGCTGTAAAAATGCAAACATTGTTGGGTAAAATTTTAATTAAACACGTATAATCTCTTAGAGATTCCTGTCATTAAAGCCAAATTAAATATATAAATATATGAAACACAGCCCAACATTACTCTTAGAAATTGCTATAAATCCTCTTTCCTTTGCAGCAGCACATTTGGGTCCTTCTCTGAATCCAAGCAAGCTGTGGCAGGTTCAGTTCAGTTGAGCCAAGATAACAGAAACGAAAACTTTGATTTGTGAGAAAAATTAAACCAATTCAGCTGTTTGGAAGAAATGTACTTTCCAGGAGTCCAACAAGGAACAACAAATAAAGATTATTTTTCTTCTACGAAGTCATTATCATGTTAAGTAATCAAAATACTGACCAAAATAATTGCGATTGTTATTTTTGCCACAAGTATACGTTAGGGGTGCAACAATACTCGCATCGGTATTGAACCGTTCGATACAGTGCTTTCGGTTCAGTACGCATATGTATCGAACAATACAAAATTTTTAATTTATTT